TTGGCAGACTATTGTAGGCTAGCCGTATCCAATGTCAGTGCAATCATCCACTTCTTCAACCCAGTTCTTTGGCCCTACGTTCACGGGATCACTTGGCATTACTCGGCCCACTGATTTATCAATTTTTGGGTCTCCTATGGCTGCTATGGCACAATCTGTGTCTCATATCACTACCGTTTCACAGATCATCACTATCAAATTCAAGGTGGTTGAAGATTATCTCACGTGGCGCACGTAATTTGAATCGTTCCTCGTCTCTCAAGGTCACTTTGGCGCTTGATGGTTCTATTCAAGTACCTTCTATGTACACTACTGATATAGCTAATCGTCAAGTGTCTAATTCTGAATACTATCAGTGAAAACACGTGGATCAAACTATTCGATCATGGTTATTTGCAACACTTTCTCATGATGTATTAGTTGAAGTACATGACCTTAAACATTCCTGTGCTATTTGGGAGCGTCTACAAACTAGATTCATGTCTCCTAGTTTGCCTCGTTCTATGGAGCTTAGACGTCTGTTATTTCAAAATAAAAAAAATTATGGTCTATGGAACACTATTTGAGGGATATTAAAATGATGGTTGATGCCCTTGCGGCAGTAAATTCCTCTCTTACGGATAAAGAGTTGCTCCAGTACATTATTATGGGACTAGGTCCCGAATATGAATCCTTGGTTGACAATATTACCTTGTTTCTGGAGAATTTTTCCTATCATATTTTGCATCCTCGCCTTTTGGAGCAAGACCAACGTATTTTATACAACCGTCAACAAGCTCAAACTCAGGCTCATCAAGCTTTTGAAGCACCTGTTGGAGTCGGACAGCAAGCCCCGGCGAACGCACCTCGCGTCAGAGGAGGCTGCGGAAGAGGTGGTCGCGACAGGGGTGGGCCTGGACACGGGCGTTTCCCTTATGGTGAGTCGCAGCACCAACAGCCATCAGACATCCTCCCGCATATGGTCCACCAACAAATTTTGGTCAGCAGCAGCCGCCACCTGCTCAGCCGCCAGGGGTGTGGTTTTTCCTAGATCGGGTACTTCAGGTACTGCTAGTAATTCAGTTGTGTCCAATTTAAATGTTAATCCCTTTTTTACTTGCGGTACTAACTCTGGCTATGCAGGGCTTCCCTCAACTAAGGGAGTTCTTGAGTCTATTCCCTTTCACGTTGTTTGTCAGATTTGCTTTTCTGTAGGTCATTCTGCTATGAATTGTTCGTCTCACCTTTTACAGACATCCACTCCAGCTCTATTAACTCCTAGTCGTGATGCTAATAATGATTTATGGTATCCAGATTCTGGAGCTTCGGCTCATATGACTCCGCATGAAGGTATCCTCATAATGTTTGTAAAGGATAAACTTTCGGGGGCAGTTCTTCTTCGAGCAACCAGTAATTTTATTAAACCAGTGAGAATTTTACCTATATTAAGATCAAAACAAACTGTGGTGGGTTTAATAACAGGACTAAAAGTCTCAGAAAAATCAACCCCAACCTGTTGATTAAAACCTTGGGCCACTAATCGTGCTTTATGACGCTAAAAAAGAAATAACAATAGTAAGGTCCTAATCGTGTTTCTTGGAAGTCCAAAAAGCAGCCTACAGTCTCCAAATCTTCTATAGAGGCAGAATATTGTGTTATAGCTTATACATTCGAGGACACTTTACATGTGAGATCCATTCTATCTGTTCGAGCTAGGCTTTCCCATTACCGCACCGGTGCAGCTCTTCTGTGATAATATTTCGGCCTCTTACTTGACTGCCAACCCTATTCAGCATGCTCGCAGTAAGCATATTCAGATTGATCATCACTTTGTTCGTGAGAGAGTGGCACATGGCAACCTTGTTGTGAATTATGTTCCCACTTATCTTCAACTTGTTGATATTTTTACAAAAAGTTTTTCTAGTTAGCAATTTAATTTTCTTAAAAACAACATGCGCGTTGTATCTCTTGCACAGCTTGAAGGGGTGTAATAGTGGCCTTATCCCAATTGTATGTGTCACATTTATTTTAAATACATCTTTTAGAGTTCCTTAGAAAACAACTTGTTCCATTATTCCACGGGAAGTATCCCTCTATTCATAATAAAAGGGAAAGCTATTTTCATTTAAATATTATAGATATGTGCATATTGCTCATAGTTTATATTGTGTGTCTCAACCATGATAGAAAAACATGCCATAATAAAACGTTGAAATTTGAGTCATTGTCATGTTCATATATGAGTCGTGGGTTGTATAGATCAATTACATGTCACTCTCCTATCGATAATGTTTGGCGTACACATTTTGAACACTCTTAGTACATTTCACAAATATTCAATACCACAAATAAGAAATATGTTGTCACACATAAAAGATTTTCATACATTGAAATAGTTCTTTTTATGAGTAGACACAAATGATGTCTACTCATAAAAATAGTTGTTTTTGTTACAAATTACATAATTTTTGAATACATTCTCAAGATAGACAAGTTATCTATAATCTAATTTCAAAGACAACCATTGTGATGTAGTCATTGTTTGTGAGTATAAATGTCATTTTCCTCTCTTATTGCTTTGAGTGTGCTCCCCAAAGAAGAAATGCTCCCAACTTGCTTTGGAAGTGAATGGCAGCTGATACTTCATTTCCACTATGGCACTCCTAATTTCTTTGTTAACCGTCTCAAAATGAAATGTGTCTAAACCATAGTTGTTATGGCGTCGCCATGGCGTCGCCAAATCGTCCTGGCGTTAAGAGACGCTCGCCATATGTTGTCGACTCGCCATAGACCTTGTGGCATCGCCGCAGCGTCCTTGTGGCGTCGGATGAACGCCATAGACGCCATAGGAACGACTTAGGAGACGACATAGGCCGCAGGACGTAATTATTATTACAGGCCCAAACCCAAACCCAATTTTTTAAACCCATCAAATAAAACAAAACAGACCGATCCTGCGATCCATCTGCGCTCGACGAGTTTCCCAGTTGCGCTGCATCCGTCTTCTATCTGCGGTCCTCTTCCCTTCCGTCTTCAGCCGCACGTCAATCCTCAGGTATTTCCGTCACTAGCTCACTCTTGGAGTCGCATGAATTGTTCGCGCCCTCATCCCTGTTCCTTAGTTTTGCTTGCTTCAATTTTAAGAAAAGTGTGGGTACTGGGCATGAATTGTCCGCACCCTCAGCCCTGTTCCGCACTATTGTTACATATTTTAAGAAAAGTTTTAATATTATGCTAATAAATTTCAATTTTTCCCCAAATAATGAATAAATTTCAGTAGTTTTTATTTATTTTATATTTCATAATTGTTTTTGGTGTCTTCAATTTATGATGAAATTTATGTTGTGTAATTGTGTTGTCTTACATTTAATAATTTTTTTTAAGTTTTTAGTGAAATTTTGGTTGTGTAGTTATACATTTAATAATTTTTTTAAACAGTGCTTACCATGGCTGATCCGAAAAGTTATGATCCATCAAAAGATCCTAGCAGAAAACCCAAATCGGATGATCCCGGATGGGAATTTGGTTTTTGGCAGGACAAGAATAACCAGGACTTGGTAGAATGCGCACTTTGTGGAAGACAGGTGCACTCTGGAGTGAAACGGCTGAAGCAACACTTAGTTGGCGGTTACGGGGATGTTGAAAAATGCGCAAAGACAACTCCATAAATAAGAACTAAGATAGGCAATTATATGAAGAGAAAAATGAAGAATAAAATGCAAGTGAGTGTTGAATTGGATGATGAAGATGATGAATTGGACGAGGATCCTGTCACACAAGTATCATCTCGTGCTTCTTCTACTCGTTCAGTTCCTAGTTCTGGAACAGCCATCAAAAGGAAGCGTGTAGCACAGTCCACTCTAAAATTTCAGCATTCACTACCAAAACAAGGTAAACCAACTAATTCTGTTGTTTCAATGATTAGAAAGTCACCTGAAGAAGTGATTGAAGAAAGGCATTCTCAAGGGAAGAGTCAACGGACTCTTGAGGGTGTTACGAGATCCAAAGAAGAGATCAAGAAAGTGCATGGGCACATTGCTGATTTTTTCTATAAGAATGGCATACCTTTCAATGTTGCAAACTCAAGAAGCAATGAAATTATGATCGAGTCAATCGGGCAGTTTGGCCCCGGACTGAAACCTCCGAGTTACCATGAATTAAGGGTGCCTCTTCTGGAGGAAGCTGTGAAGGATACAGAAAAGTTGAAGGAGAAACATGAAATTGCTTGGAAGCAATATGGATGTACACTCATGTCGGATGGATGGTCTGATAAAAGAAGTCGGCACTTGGTCAATTTTCTCGTTAATAGTCCAGAAGGGACTTTCTTCTTAGAGTCGGTTGATGCTTCGCACGAGTCACAAGATGCAAGTCTGTTGGCATCATTGCTTGAGAATTAGATTCAAAAGATTGGCAAAGAGAATGTCATTCAAGTAGTGACAGATAATGGGGCAAACTAAGAAGCGGCAGGGAAGTTATTGGAGCAGCGTATACCCACACTTTCTTGGACTCCTTGTGCGGCTCACTGCCTAGACCTTATGATGGAGGGTATTGGGAAACTCGTTGAGTTTAAGCCCTGGATTGATAGTGCAAGACGTTGCACCACTTTTATTTATAGGCATACAAGGATTCTAAGTGCAATGCGGGAGAGAACTGGTGGAAGAGATCTAGTGAGGACTGGTGTTACACGGTTTGCCACAACATTTCTCACTTTGCAAAGTTTATGCAAGTATAGAGAACCTTTGAGAAACCTGTTTGTGAGTCCAGATTGGAATAATTCAAAGTTGTCAAGTACAGCAGTGGGGCAAAGGGTATATGACACTATTCTTGCTTCTAAGTTTTGGGCTTGGGTGGAGGATACCTTGAGAGCATGCCACCCACTTCTTGTTGTTCTAAGGATAGTCGATGGGGATGAGCAGCCAGCTATGCCCGAGCTTGCCATGGCTATGAGAGAAGCTAAGAAAAAAATAAATGAGTCGTTTGCGTCTAGGCCCAGAGTGTTGAAAAAGCTGATGAAGATTATTGAGGATCGATGGGCAGATCAAATGGAAGTAAAGTTGTATGGGGCTGCTTTATTTCTCAACCCTTCTAAGTATTTTGACTTGAAAAGGACTGATACTGCGTATGCTTATGAGCAACGAGAGTTGTTTAATGATGTGGTTTACAAGATGATTGGTGATGATGATGAGTTGGAGGGTAAAATCAGCAAACAAGTTGATGATTATGATTTCATGCGATGAGAATTTGCAAAGCCATTGCCAATCAAACATCAAAAAATCAAGGCACCTCGTAACTCGTAAGTGATACCTTGTTACTAAAATAATAGTATTTATTTTAATTTTTTATGACTTATAAAATCTGAATTCTTAAAACACTTATGATTATTATTACTTATTAGTTGATTGGTGGAATGCTTTTGGTGGCCATGCTTTGGAGCTACAATCATTTGCTTTACGCATAATAGGCCTTTGTTGTTGTTCTTCGGGTTGCGAACGCAATTGGAGTACGTTTGAATTTGTAAGTTACGCCATCCTTTTGAAATCTATAGGTTTTTAACTACTTACTTCCAATGATAATAAGTTTTATTTATTTATTTAGATCCACACCAAGAAAAGAAATAGGTTGGAGCATAAGAGACTGAATGATTTGGTGTTCATTCAGTACAATAGGAAAATTGTCAACAGGTTCAAAAAGAGGCGTGAAGAAGGAAGTGATTTCAACCCTTTGGTTTTAGAAGAGTTTTCTTGGGATAATGAGTGGGTTGATGATTCTGCTACTCAAGTTGTTCACCGTGGGGATGATCTTTTATGGGATCAAGTTGATGAAGTTCTTGGTGCTTCAAGAAATCTAGATCGCCGTAATCCGAGGAGAGGTGATGTTGGTGAACCTTCAAGTTCAGTTAGGGTTTATTCTCGACGTCGTAATGATGATACAGATGTTGAAGAGAATGGTGAAGAGAGTGAACCATTTCCAGATGATGATTTAGATGTCGATGATGAGGATCAGGATGCCACGGACATCATTCCTAACAACCAAGCTGGTTCTAGATTTGACAATTTCCTTGATGATGTTTAAGTATTTTTATGTTGGATTATGTTATTTGACTTATTTCTATTTTCTAGTTTTGGATTATGGATAATGTTTTATGATTTGTTTCGATGAACTATAGGCTTATGGTTATGGTCTTATGGATTATGTTATTTCTATGATTACATGTTTTATTACTTAATTTACTTCATTAGTAGTGTTGGCTATAAGTGTTAGATGTAGGCTTTTTAGTATGTAAAACATATTATGAATTTATTAGTGTAAATGTCGACTTATCGCCGAGACTCCACCATAACAGGCACCATATCGCCATGGCGGTATGGCAGTCCAAAGGCGCCGCGCCGCAAAACCCCGCCGTAACAACTATGGTCTAAACGTAATAAACCCCATGAAATATTATCTGAGCTGTGTTTTAAGCTTTTTGGTTATCCCTTTACTCCCCAACTTTAACACAAAACTTCAATTTATAAGCATCCCCAACTTCACATAACCTCCACCAGCCATCAGCAGCTGCCATAGCAAGCTGCCATTTCTATCCACCAACGGTTGTCAGCTTCACCAGTTTTTTTTAGAAGGATGGAGTATTTATTAGTCAACTAAGTCTCATTTAATAACTTTTTTAAGATTTACTTGTATTCTATAAAAAAAGATTTGTATTGTATAAAAACTTTAGATATAAGTCGCTAACTTACTTAAATAAAAATGTGCATGGGTTTTATTTACCAATACCAAGTGCAACAATAACCAAAGTAGAACGGATAATGTACAAGTAAATTTTTAGATGAAAGGACAAAATAAAAGAAATTAAACTGTTCATCCCCAATTTCATATATAATTTTCTTACATTACAGATTTTAGATAACTCGGCCATTACAACTAAAATTTCAGCAATATTACCGAATTCGACTCTTGCCAATCAGGCTCTTAGATATACAGATTGTAGGAGAATGTGTTGAGCTGACTTGACTGCCTCTGGGACCAAATCAGCAGATAAAGATTTGGAAGTTGGGAGCTTCAAGTCCCACATTTAAGTAGTTAACATCAGCCGCAACCTGTCCGAAGTCACCTGATGGACGAGTAAAATACTCATGTTGGTATTTTGGTCAAAGATTTGCCAATGAGGTGAAACGAAAGGCTAATTTACAGACAATGCGCATACCTTCATAAAGGGTCCTCACAAAATCTACATACTCTGGTATGAGGTCTCGATATATGATACCATCTGGGTGTGCGTCCAAGACTACAAGGACTCCTATCATGTTTGAAGACAGACAAAATTATACTCATATCAGAATCCAAATTGTTATGGAGCGGTTGGAGCCAAAGATTCATTATTTTTGGCTTGAGATTACGATGGAATAAAGCAAAATGGCTCACTAAACTGTCTGCGCTTCTTTGTTATGGAACATCAGTCAGTCCATGCAATTTTGGACGCGATTTTTCACTATGGGTCATCCGCAAACAGTCTCTCTGTGCTTTAGTACAGGAGTAAGACTGCGTACATCCGACCCCCTTACCCCACAGTAGGTGGGAGCCTTTGCGGCACTAGGGTAAATGAAAATGAAAAATGAAAATCAGAATCCAGATTGTTCAATAAATTCAAAAGTCAGTATGGTAAAATTTTATATTCCGTAATACATTAGAAAATAAATATGGTAAATGGACATAGGTACTATATCAGATGCTACAGTAAAGACAATGGTAAAATCTGCAGGCAGTATTTAAACATAAAGGAGTTGACCTTTGGCAAAGTTCTCCAGTCAACATACTAGCATAGAAGTGGAATGAAGAAGAGCACATCATCAACAAATTCAGAACAAGGTCTTCTTGTATTCATGATATAGAGATGATTTACCTGGTGCCAACCATTTATCCATTGAATCACTCGGTAAAGGAGCCAGCCACAATATGTTCCGTAAATTCATTGAATCATCATAAGCCACATTAGACCCTGATGAAAGTTTGTAAACATTTAGTACATGGCTATATTTATCCCAAATTTGCAAATACATTCAGATAAAGTGAACATTGAGGTTAAAAAGAAGGTTCAGAAAAATGCAATTAGTAGATCTACCTTTTTGACAGTAACCCATGTTGATAGGGAATACTTTCTCATCATACGCTGGGTACTCTTTTGCGTGAAAGCTGCATAATTTATTGCATGATTAGAAAAGCAGCAGGTTCAGAAAGCTGCATAATTTTAGGCGGGAGCCTTTGCGGCACTAGAGTGATGATGATGATGATTAGAAGAGCCGCACAGAAAAAGTTTATGCAACTAGACAAATTAAAACAAATGTCATGTCCAATCTCGATCAGGTTATCAGCAGACTAAAAACATGATACATCTATTTCTTATCCAAGCAGAAAGTGAAGTTCCTGATCTCTTTGCAGCATATAATCAAATGGACTATCACATTCTGTTTTAAAGTTATACGGAGTATAAGATGAGACCCTGCTTTCTGCATCACAGCTATGAGTGCATATTAAAAATGATAAAATGTAGTGTGTTCTCTGGATCATGATGCATATATGCGTGTTTAAATATTGCACCCCTTTTTGTCTGTACATTCATAATTTTTACTTCCCCACTTTACTCTTTAATCCATCTTTTCACCTTTTACATTTTATGGGACGATATGCTTTTTCACCCTTTTAGAGTGTTACAATTGTAAAAGCTTTCGTCTTTATTTTCTAAATAATAAATGGAACCAAAAGTAGCAACTTGTTTGTTCAGTATGTTGGTGAATTTTATGGCCAATGAACCATGATAGAAACAATGGAAGCAGGGAAGTGATCTCCTTTCTTCCATTTCATTTGGTTAAAGCCAAATAAACACTATATTTGATCTTCCTAATCATTCCATTTAAGTAAACTGATGACAAATAAACCATTTTAAGAAAATGATAGAAAAGTAACACAGTAAATAAAGTTTACCAAATAAACAATGAGAGGCCTGCAACTTACAGAATACCAAGCCTTCCAGAGTTTGTGGCCAGAAAGAGGTGACCATGAAAGAAATCATACCGATTCAATGACACATTAAGCCCTACCTCAGGGCCCCGACTCACAATCATGTCAAACAAATATTTTAGGTATGAATTTATCTCCTGATAAATGAATGATTAAAAAATTTCCCATCAACAAGAAGACAAAAGGAATGGTGCGCCAATGCGCCATAGATAAATTATACCAGCAAACTCTGAGTTCTAACCTCATGTATGAAATGCCTGCCGTAAGGAGTTCTAGTTAGCTCACAACGTTCTTTCTTGGAACCTTCAACATCAGGAACCTGTTAATTGTGAAGCAGTGCATCTGATAAATCACAATTTATAGGAGCCCTTAAGAGCTGCCACTAGCGTCCACCAAATAATTTTGCCAGATATACTCATATGTTTGGAGCAGTGATTTGAATTATTTCGTAGTTTCTCTTACTTAGAGTAGGTTTTAGGAGGTTTGATAGTTCTACATAACAGAGCTTCCCGATTCATGGGCCCCAATTTTTAAAAAAAATATTATCATTATATAGTAATGTTAGACGTAGTATATTAATACCAATCAATAAAATACAGTTAGTAAGGAAGAAAAATATAATAATACGGAGTACCATTTTTTGTTAGTCCTTTTACTCCTCATCATTTTCATTTACCTCACTGCCGCAAAGGCTCCCATCTACGGTGGGGTAAAGGGGGGTCGGATGTACACAGTCTTACCATATACTAAAGCACAGAGAGACTGTTTCCGGATGACCCCTAGTGAAAATCGCGTCCAAAATTGCATGGACTGACTGCTGCTTCATTACAAAGAAGCGCAGACAGTTTAGTGAGCCATTTTACTCCTATTTACTCAAATTGTTTGAGGGATGAGTTGTGTTGCTTTAAATCAAGTACGAAGTATTAAGGATGTTTTCTTTTGGACTGTTTTTAGTCTCAGACCAGACTTAAACATACCTGATCAAACCAGACTTAAATAAACCAAATCGGACCAGACACGACCAGACTTCCATAGTTATAAGATATACATAGAACATACATTTACCAGACCAGTTCATACATGACTCAAACAAACCGGACTAGACCAGAACAGACCAACAAATTTCAGTTCAAAACAAAACATCATAAGTGACTTTTTGAAAAATTTAGAGTTAATTATCAAAATAGGACTAAAAGTCATTCACTTTTCACAAATAGGACCAAAAAATGAACTATATTTGCATAGGACTAATTATGTGTACCTTGGACAATTATACCCTTATAGCTATTAAAATGTTTTAATTCCTAATAAAATAATAAAAAATAATAAAAATTCATAAAAAATACTAAAAAATTAAGAAAAACATTTCGATATTAAAAATTTAATTAATTTTTTTTTTCAAAAAATTAAAAAATTAAAAAAAAATTAAAAAAAAAAACTCAAAAAAAAAAAATCGCCGCCGCCTCTGCCGCCTCAGCACCACCACCTCTAGTCATCAGGGAAAAAAATGCCAAGTTCATTACGAATGCCATATTTATGGCAGAAAAAAATGAAAATGTTGGCATTCGAAAAGAGAAATATGCCCTTTTTTTGGCATTTTTAGAAAAAAATGGCATTTTTCTGGGAAAATGGCATTTTTTTCATCGGCCGGAGGTGGTGGTGCTGGGAGGTAGTACAGGCGGTGGGAAGGGCATCCATATTTTTTTAAATTTTTTTTTACGGAGTTTTACTATTTTTTATTAATTTTTTTAAAAATAAAATTATTTAAAAAAAAAAGTTTTTGAATTTTTTATTTTATAAAAATTTTATAAATTTTTTAATTATATTTCTACGAATTTTTGATTTTTTTTCGAATTTATTATGAATTAAACATTTAATTATGGCTTTTGACTATTTTTAATTCATATTTAATGAAAGGGTAAGAATGGAATGCAAAAATAGGTATGTTTCAAATAGGACTCGTATGGTCCTATTTTGGAATAAAAACATAGCAAGTCCTATTTTAGGTTTTTGCCATAGTTTTAGTCCTATTTGAACTAATTTCTAAAAACTTTATTACATATTTAATGAGTATAAGTATTTAGATTTTTTTATACTTCCTTGGTCCCGAAATGAAGTTCCCGGTTTGACCTACATACATATTTATGTAAGATAGAGTTTTACTTTGATTTTCCAAGTATACCCTTACTTTATGTCAAATCAAGCAAAACTTAAGTAAAAATAAGGGTAGTTCTTTTCGGGACGAAGGCGGTGTATAATAACGTGGGGCCTCGATTTTACATTTAAAGTTCCCTAATATGTTTATATTATACAATAAAGATATGAACCTACTCCCTAATACTACATCCATCCCGAAAAGGTTTGCCATATTAAATTTTCCTAATACTTGACAAACTTCGGACAATGATTTTAATTATTATATTTGTATATAATTTATAAATTTTATACTTTTATGAAAATATTTTGAATAATGAACGTTTTGATATAATTTGATTGTCTGAGTGGAATTCTTGCAGCGAATCCAGGAATCTAGCTAGATTTGCTGCATGCTAACGTTAGAGAGAGATTGTTAGTTCTTCTCTTAATATACCTAACATCGAGCCCAATTTGGTACTGATATTTTTTTGGCCTACAGAAAGAGTGGAACTCACAGGGATAATCGTAGGATCGAGAGCCCGACTAATAGCATCTGGATCTCCACCCGAATCAACTGCTAGCCGAGCCAGCTCCATCACAGGCTCCGGTGGCCACCAAACAAGCTCATTCTCCTGCTGCCTACTACCAGAGCGACTTAATTCCAAACTTGGCGATCTCCAATGCTTCAATGGTTCGGGTCCGGAAACGAAAGGAACGAGGAATTTGAAGCAGGACCGAAGCTCCTCAGCTTCTCGGGCATTGATGGCGGAGGCCTGCTGCTTTGGGCCCAATACCGCGAGCAAGTCCGCTGCTGTAGCCTTGGAGACGGGCGGTCCCGGCGACGGCGCTAAAGAGGAATGAAAGCGAAGATTGGGCTTCCGAATATACAAGTCAGGAGAGAGAGAGATGGAGGATAATGGGTGGGAAGCTACTGCGAAAGAGAGGGAGAAGAAGAAAGCGAATCGCATAGAAGAAGATGAGATGAAATTGAGCTTGAACCCCATTTCTTCCATTCTCTCCCTCTCAGTTGCATCTCTTTTGAATTCTGATACTAATTCAGAGTCAAATTAACGTTGAATAAAAAAAATTACCGGATCGAGTTAAAATTATTTACCAACAAATCAAAGGGCTACTTACAGGAGTTACAGCCTTACAGGCCGCCACCAATCAAGGAACACGAACAAGGCTAATGAAAGAATGAGTGGAAAAAAGTCAAAAACAGAAAAAAGACTTGCGGAATACGTAGTATTAATTATTAAACAATGTTCTTATATTCGAAACTAGAAATGCATTATTCCCTAATACTCCTAAAATATGACCACCATAGTTCAACTGGTAGTAAGGGAGTGCCACAAGGGTTAGGTCCCGGGTTCGAATCCCGTCAACTGCGATGAGACATTACTATGCTAAAAATGCATAAGGTCTGTGCAAGTATCGGGGACAGAGTCTCACTCTCTATCTGTCAGATTGAGATTATAGTCCAATTTACATCCTTCCAACGTACCATCTGGTCGGGGTTGGGGGCCTTCAGGGATGGGGTGCCATCTTTTTTTCCCCCCTAAAATATGAGCAAAATAAGGATGACATCCCCCCCCCCCCCCCCCAAAAAAAAATAAGAATGACAAATTGGGCTTTGATTGTTAGAAATTTGATTGTTTGAAAGATGAAGTTTTTTTTTAAAATATATACTTGATAAAATATTGGTGTTATATGAAGAGTGAAAAAGTTATATTTTTGATATATTTTTTGTAACATTTTAAAGAAAAAAAGATTTTTTTATAATACTCAACCTCGCCAACTGCTTCTCCACTCATTTAGTGACTTGTAAGGATGAATGATGAATCATCCACATTGATACTACTCCTCTATATTTCCTGGATGATATTGTACTGATGGTTTTGCCAAAGTGGCCTGCAAATTATTACTACCTCTATCTAGGGATGGACCCATGCCGGTCCGGTTCCGGTTCCGGGCCGGGGCCGGGTGGGCTTTTTTTCCATTTACTTGGGCCCGGAACCGGCCCGGGTTGATACCGGGTACGGGCCAAACCGGGCCGGGCCGGGCCCGGTTCAATGTTTAATTTTTTTTTTGGCTTTCTTGTTATCCCCCGACCCCCCCCCCCCCCCCACTCCACCCCCAAACCTCCCCAAAATATCCAGCCCTACCCTAGGAAAATAAAAAAATAAAAAACAAAAAAAGGCCCAGAACCGGCCCGAACCAGCCGGTCCGGTTCAACAAAATGGGAGCCCATAACCGGCCCACCATACCTACCCAAACCGGGCTAAAGCCCGGAACCGACCATCCGGGTCTAGTCCGGTCCGGGCCCGTACAGTAACGGGTCGAGCCAGTTCCGGTCAGAGGCTCTGTCTCAGTAACATACTAACATTGTGACATGAAGTGGTGGTATGATTAGGCATGGACTCAGGCCGGGCCGGGTAGCTATCGGGTCCGATTCAGACCGGGTCGGCTACCTTTTTTGAGGCTACTTCCTACTCCCCACACCCCAAACCCCTCCAAAACACCCAACCCAACCCATTTACATTTTTCAAATTTTGAAAAACTAAAAAAAAAATGGCCCGAACCGGGCCCAAACTGGCTGGGCCGGTTCATGGTTTGGGAGGCCCGGGAACCACTTCATAACAGTACCGGGCCGGGTGGCCCGAACCGGATTATGATCCAGGTACCGGATCAGATCGGGTCGAAACAGTACCGGGCTCAAGCCGGTTACGGGCCGGTTGACCCAACCCGAGTCCATCCCTAGATATGATTACTAAAAAAGTGACTTTATGCAGTTTTAAACCACTCAAAATTTATGAAACAATCTTAATAGGATAATCTAAAATGAAAGATGGAAAACAGAAAGTTGAATTATATATTGTCTACATGAGGATCCGATATTCCGATCGATTGATTCATGCCAAAAATATGACCCACAAGGCCACAATGACTCTTTTTTCACCTTTTTTATCTACAATTATAGCAATGATGATTAAGTGAACATTGAATTCTTGTCAGCTACTCAGCTCTAGCTATTTGAACCTTGAGCAGTTGAGCTAGCTGTTGAGGGTTAAGATTTTCTTAAAATTAAAGCAGAGGATGCTGAAATCAAACATCAAAAGCATTCCTAGACTACATTCCACATTATCCAAACAGTGCCTAAGATACAACAAACATGCTATGTAATATGTATGACCAAACAAAATCCATAGGATCCACACTGGCGTGCAAGGAAGCATGGCCAATAGCAGTAGCGACAAATAAAAAATGGCAATTACCATTCAACTATTTCTTTTCTTGAAATAACAACTTAAAAGGCATCATCGGATCTAATTCCTAGAATTTTTCTCCCAGTCTTCTGGTGAAGATATAATGTCCTCCTGACCACGCCAAAGTATCTGAAACAGAAGGGATATTGATATTAGCATGCAAATACCATTTTTATAACTAGGGCTTGTTTGTGGTTATTTAAATTTTGTTTCATTTTCACTATTTCGAAAACAAAATAAAACACCCATGACAAAAGTGTTTTGTTTAGTACGTCCCAAACTAAAGTCCAAGTTCATTATTTGAACAGCCCAAACTTCTTTTTATTTACCCCCAATTCACCCTTCATCTCTCTTAAACTTCTGAAATTATTTGACACAATTGGCCTCACCCACTTCAGAGACAATTTAGGAAAGTGCATTCCTAAGAAAATGCATTCCAAATTTAACTTGATTACATTAAATCTGGGCTAAAAGCAAACAAGCATTATACTACGTAATTTATAAGGGAGTATAAATCCTGCCTTGGCCAGTCTACAACTTTTCACTTTTGGTAACACCGATCATAAATCACAATCATACTTGTATTTTAAAATTTAATTGTTAGTTTAAACAAGTGTGTTGTGTTCAGTACCTTGTCTATGATTTTTTTTGGAAAACCATGTTAAAATGTAGCTTCCTTTGAATAAACGGATTGTTTTTGGACTGGAAGGAGTATACAACAGACTTAGCAATAAAAGAACAAAATATGAGCCCGTTTGGTAGCACCAAAATCGGCTGATTTAGCTGATTCTGCTGAAATTTATGAAGTTCTGACTGAAGTAACTGCATTGGCTTATTCTGCTGATTTAAGAAAAAAATAAATTTAAAGTATATTTTATTAATAAAATAAAGATAAAATTATATGTAAAAATAGCTAAAATGATCATCTACAGTAACTTCAGCCAATACAGCCAGAAAAGTAACTCCAACCTTACGTTTTTTGCTTCTAACACAATTCAGCGCGTGAAAGCAAAACTTACGTGTTTGGTGAAAAAAATGGTTGATAAGCCTGATAAGCCGAAAAACGGTGTTGCCAAACGGCCTATATATGTAGTATAAACTATAAAGGGGAAATAATTAAAATACCCCAAACTTTGAAGGGGTGTGAGATACACCCCGAACTTTCATATGTAATTTAAATACCCCAAACTTTATATAAAAAGTTATTTTAACACCATGGTTATGTGTAATTTCTTTCAAAAATGTAAATTTATGGTGTTAAATGCATAATTTAAAATAGAAAATTGAAAACATTATAATTATATATAGTGGTGGGTAATACTATTTATTTTACAATGGAAGCTTAGAATGTTAATTGTATCTTTATGAATGCTAAATTTATCAAGCTTGAAAGAAATTATTCATGACCATGGTGCTAGAATAACTTTTTATATAAAGTTTGGGGTATTTAAATTACATATGTAAGTTTGGGGTGTTTATCTCACACCCCTTCAAAGCCCCTTCAAAGTTTGGGGTATTTTAATTATTTTCCCCAACTATAAAACATGATAACATAAAACAAGAAACATTGCCAGAATAAGCATTGCAATGCCAAATAATCTAATGACCTAACATAAAAAATCAAACAGATAGTTCAAGGATGCAATGAAAAATCTAATGACCTAGCTATCAGCATATACAACTTTTACTAGAATGGAATGCCAGAATAAGCATTGCAATGCCAAATAGCAAGAAACTAAAAACAGGTGCAAGTTAACATGGCACAGGAGAGAAACTCTACCTTGTCAATGACGCCAAATTCTATTGCTTTTAGAGGATCCATGTAGAATGGTCTTTTCATCACATTAGCAACAGTCTCTACAGGCTGGTGGGATATAGATTCACATGATTATTTGTCTCATTAGGTTTATAGATTGAATAACAAAAAATAGTTAACTACTTGTTAAAGCATAAAAAATTCATACTTACATTTCCAGTGTGATGGGCCAAAAGTTCCACAAGGATATCTCTTTGTATTATAGCCTGAAAGAAGTACAATAAATCAGCACACAGTGAAAAATCGAAAAACATAACCTTACACGACACCTACAATTACTTAAATTCTACAAAAAGGGTTCTTATTCAGTTCACGTAATTATATGGACCTTCTATTCTATTTAGGAAAAATTGATTGTAATAATCCCAACTATTGGCGATCCGTTTATAATAATCTCAACTATTGATTATTCCAGAATAATCCCAACTTTAGGGACCTTCCGCCAATAATGGTCCGACGTGACCGACTATAAATAAATTCTTATAGTTTCTAAAGAGATATAGCAAGTAATCCCTATAAATAATCCCAAATGTTAATTTTTACGCTTAATTTCTATTAAAAATTCACTTGTTAGAGGAGGTAATATGTGGTCATGGACCATTATTGGCGGACAGTCCCTAAAGTTGGGATTATTCTGAAATAATCGATAGTTAGGATTATTATAAGCGGACCGCCAATAGTTGGGATTATTACAATCAATTTTTCCAATGAAAAACATACGTGAAATTAATAAATAGAAGGAAAAATTGATTGTAATAATCCCAACTATTGGCGGTCCGCTCATAATAATCCCAACTATTGATTATCCCAGAATAATCCCAACTTTAGGGACCTTCCGCCAATAATGGTCCGACGTGACCGACTATAAATAAATTCTTATAGTTTCTAAAGAGATATAGCAAGTAATCCCTATAAATAATCTCAAATGTTAATTTTTACGCTTAATTTCTATTAAAAATTCACTTGTTAGAGGAGGTAATATGTGGTCATGGACCATTATTGGCGGACAGTCCCTAAAGTTGAGATTATTCTGAAATAATCGATAGTTGGGATTATTATAAGCGGACCGCCAATAGTCGGGATTATTACAATCAATTTTTCCTTTTTTATTTCCAACATGCCATTAGCCAAGCTGTGCAATCTTCATTTCAACCTCAGATTCATGGCCCTATGCTGAAGATGGATCATCAAACCATGAACACTTCATACATATCCTCAACATTCACTATAACTACTAGAGATTTGGGTATACCAATGTCAGACAAATGACAAATCAATAAAAGATTAAAAGCTTAGAAACATCCTCTAGAAGCCTATTAAACTTGATACGAGAAAATAGTTCAACCTTTGAAACTCAAATGGGAATGTAAAAACATGGGAGAGCTAAGCTAACCTCTTTAGCCCGAATGAAAACGTCACTGGCCTGTAGCAACCCAGATGATGGTACCCGAGGCTGTTGAATCAGAGCTGGGACAAAACTTCATGATCTTACAGATATACCTCAAATCATTGGATATGTAAAATATAGAGGTAGAGAGTATACCTTTTGAATGCGGCAGCATAAACCTTTTCCCTTTAGTTCCTGCAGCCAGCAAGAGACATGCCTGACCTATGGCAGCCCCAACTGCAACGGTGTGGATCTGCACATCAAAGAGGCAGGAAAGCATCAATAAGAATAACCAATAATCTGGAAATATTTAAAATGTAATGGATAATATTAGTATATTACGGAGGTAATTCTAAATTGAAAGGAACACTGAAGATTCATAAATTCCAAAGCAATTAGATCATGGCAATTGACTACTATCCTCAGAGTTGTGTTTGTATCTTTTATATAATGATAACATGGTAGCAAACCAAATAGGTAATTAATTTTCCTCCTAAATAAGTGAAAATATGTAGACAAGCTATTTAATATTTAGCCATATATTAATCAATATATCATTTACTAAAATGATAATATGGTAGATAATATGACAACTGACATGATAACATTAACTTCGGAAGTATACTACTCCCTCCGTCTCACTATTATGGTCCCGTTGCGGTTTACAATGCTTGACCGACGATAAAGCAAACGAATCCCTCTCCGCACTCAAATTATTTTTAGAAAAAAAGAATTACATATTCAGAAACTACATTAAAATCTTTACAAAGTCGCAAAAACCAGAATCTAATTTGATATATAAAGTATGAGATTAAGAGTGATTTGTGTTGACCAAGTGAATAGGAATTGAGACAATAATAGTGGGACGGAGGTAGTTATAATTAGAACAAAAATGTGAAAAATTAACACGAACTAAATATAATATCACCGAGCTAATTTGACCGCTTTCAATTTTCAAAGTAAATATTAATACATTTTAGTTTCAATTTATGTCATGAGAATGAAGACTTATAGAGATTTATATGATGTACGCAATTGAGAAATTATTGAGATATTATTGTACACGATAAATTTTTTATCAAGACGCAACTCATTATTTATAAAGTACCTAAAAGCAGCTAAAAAATAAATATGAAAGTCTTTGAGATGGCAGGATCACTATTGACTTTGTAAAATAAAATACTTCTACTTAAAGATAATATATAAATACGATATGCATTTAAATAGGTAAGACATAAACTTGGTATTCAATAAACTCTATCTCTACAAGTGCTTTAGTTCTACTTCAGTTGTGTGTAGAACAGTCAGTGCAATTGACACTAAATAATGTAGAATTATTGGTTAATGTATACGACAAGAACATCCAAGCCATGGTTAATGTATACACAAAAAAATTATTAATGCAATTGATATCATTTTCATCATAATTAATTAGTGTATCTTTTCCAATTGTTAAATATATGAATTTCTATAACAATCATATATCATGTGTTCAATTTTTATATAAAAAGTATGTACAAATTATTCATTATACAAATATTTTATGGATTAATTTAGTTTCATTCACCATTCGTGCAACGCACAGGTCGATAGACTAGTACATAATAATCAATTCCAGATGGTTGACTATATCTGGAAAACATTCTGACATACAGACATGAGGTAGTAGTGTAACACTGCCATAGCGGGTGGGGCACTGCACTGTCTGCACAAGTTTCCTATGGGCATGGGGACAAAATGTGCCTCTCTAGGTGGTAGGGGGAATAGAAAAGCACTTATCAGCTAGGCAGACGCTTAGGCAGGGTATTGATATGAATATGGAGTACAAAAGTAATAATTAGTTACAAGAACAGAAAATACAATTGTGATATTTTATTCAAGGTTTAATAATTCCAAATATGACAACAGTCACATTCCAATAGTGTCCAACATAACATACTTGAAAACAAGAAGACTATGAATATGGGTGAGTGGATTATGTTATGATACACTGAGAAAAATGTAAAGTCAAGAAAGAGTTTTTGAGGATGTGAAACCCATTTGGAAAAGGGATAAACATAAAGGCATCGTTATGCCTCCATAATTTTTAAACTTAACTTTGAAACGGTCAAAGCCAGTAGGGTTAGATGGTTCGACACCTTGGCGGGACACCTTGGTAGCGTGTGTGGCATCTATGCAGCACATTAATCATCGGGCGCACTGGAATCTTTTGAGCACATAGAGGCGCATTAATCTTTTTCAAAGCCAAATTCCTTACCACCTGGCGCCTAGAGCGAATTTAATAATGGGGAAAATAATTTAAATACCCTAAACTTTGATGGGGTGTGAAATAAGTATCCCAAACTTGCATATGTACCCCGAACTTTATAAAAAATATTATTTTCACACCATGATTGTATGTTTTTTTACAAATACAAATTTATTGGAATAATAACATAATTTAAAATACTCTAAGCTTTGTTAAGAATGCAGTTAACATTCTAAATTTCATTTTGTGAAATAAATAATATTACATCTGATACAATTTAATTTTAATTGGATCCTCATAAATGTTTTGTGTATTTTAAATTATGTACTTAATACCATAGAATTATATTTGTGAAAATATATGATCATGGTGCTAATATAACTTTTTATATAAAGTTTGGGATATATATAATACATGTCCAAGTTTGGGGTACTTATCTCACACCTCTTCAAAGATTGGGATATTTAAATTATTTCCCCCTTTAATAACAGAGCATAACACACAAGTAAACTTGTAGCAGTTGAAGCTCAATGGTAGTTTGAAACAATAAAAAATAGCTGTTTTTTTCTTGAGAGCTTATACAACAGAGGAGCATCTCAAATAAATCCACAAGTCCACAACATCACCCAAGTGCAACTAAAGTAGCAGATAACAAACAGAGAAACACTAACTGTGGAAGTAGACACGCATCAAATATTATACCTAGAATACTTGGACAAGGCAGAAGATATATACCTCGTTTCTCAATTGCATCATAGCATCATAAATTGCAAAACCTTCAGTTTCCATAGCAACCTTTTATTGATGAAATGAGAGAAGCATGGTAAACATGATGAAGAAAATGTAGAATACAGCCAGTACAGTATAAGTGGATAAAACCAATGCATAATTCAATCTAGTGGTGGCAATATAAATGGACTGGATAAAAGAGTTGGAGTATAATGTATGGACTATGAAGTATCTACTAATCCAGTTCAGATCCATTAAAATTCATTACAACCAAATTGATTTAATATCTATGAATAGCATCCAACTGTTCTATCCTTTCAAAAAAATCTGTCTGATCTATCCCTCAATAATGCTATCAGGGTGGATTTTCAATCCATCTAATTGCTTATTACGGAGTATTTTGCTTTTATCGAGTTGATTGAGCAATGCATATGTTATACATTGGTAGATATAGCAATTAGCAAACAAGATAATAGTAATCAAAGTAAAAATAAATACTCCCTCCGTCCCATTGGACTTTGACAACTTTCCTTTTTTGGCTGTCCCAAAAAACTTTGCTACTTTCCTATTAAAGCAATTAATTTGTGGTTCTGCACATTTCTCTCTCCTCTACACAAATCTCAACCACATAGTTTTTACTATTCTTATTTCTCACCAACTTTGCACTTGGCAAAGTCCATCGGGACGGAGGTAGTAATTAATAAATGAGAAAGCCCCAAATGGTATTATGGGTATAAAAGGTTCTTTTTATATTATCCAAACAAGCTAACGAAGTATGTTAAATGAATTGTGATGTCCGACCAGAATAAAGGACATGGAAAACTCACTGTCTCTCCATCATCACGGGTAGTCCCAGTAGAGTTGATGTAAAGATAAATAGGCTTCTTGGGGTCCATATATTGCAGGTACATCAACTCTGAAAGCACAAGCTCTGTGACAGCAGGTACCAACTGAAAAGATATTGACACTCAATAGAGCATTTTAATTGATTTCCAACGATGACTCCAGAGAATTGAAACAAAAAAATGAATTGTCAAAAGAAAAGTTAGTGTCAGACACACGTATTACCAACAAGAAAACAAGGACTCTATATCATGCCTAAGTGTCCATTTAATAAGTTAACTAGAGACATCAGGTGCCAAAATACACACCTAATTAACTCCTCACTGGAACTAATCTAACTATCAATAAAATCAAATCAAAATTGCAACATAGAGTGCTCTGGGAGCACCAAGGACTTCATACATCTTACAATGGAGGGTCATTAATTCATTATCAGTTAAGAAATGGTACTAGAAAATCTAGAATAGATGACTTAAATCGCGTAACTTACCGGCATCCCAATATAAACTATTCTACCCTGGAGCAACAATGACGGCAAATCTGGGGGAGGTTCATCTCGCTCATAATCATTGTATGAATCTGACCGCTCCACCTTATCAAACACAAAAGGCTTCAATTAGAAGGATAGAACTACTAATTATGAGCAAATGATAAGCCAAGCTAGGAAAACAAAACAAAACATTAAAGCTCTCAAAGAGAACCCATGAAATGCAATGAAGCCCGTAAAATATGATCCATCAAAGCACACCACGGAATCAGTTCAAAATCAACCACGCCCAGACAAATTGCTGTAGAGGAATATGAACTTATGCATAACTTCTAAAACACAAGTACCACGAAGACTGCGCTACTATTCCTTTCAAATAATTGAAGAAGTCAATTGGTAGAATGAAAAGGAACCGGAATCCGATATTTTACATTACCAAACCTGCTCAGGAGCAGCCATGAGCGTAGGGGAGTCGAAGATATCCAAATACGGCGGCTCATCAGAATTGACAGTCCGGCTATAGAGAGCTTCAGGATTTCTAGCAGCGACTGAAGCTAGCTTCGTCAGGAAGGGGTCTCCAGGGTTAACCGGAGGTAAGGAAATCTTGGCACTGCTTCGGCTACTGTTGAATGAGCACAGTACACTACAACAACGTCGCCTGAGGGAAAAGGTTGAGGGCGAAGAGGACGGAAGCATAGACGCCATCGGCAATGTGGTGGTGGTCATCCTGTCGCTACGTTTCCTTGTCTTTCTTTGGGGATATATAATACGGAGTATATTGCATAGAAATTGAAATCGTTTTATTTGTTATCTTTAATACAGAAATACTTTCACAAAAACTTTTTTTTGTAGACTTCAAAGAAAACTTCAATACAGAAATTTGATTTTTTTTACAGAAATTTGGAGTTTTCTAGTTTGGGGTAGAATTGATTATCCAGGATGTAATTGATCATGTAGACTCGCATAAATTCAGGAAAATGATGAAAATGTGAACATGTAAGATTACATCATTATTGTTTTTGAAGTTTCTTTTTCCATGGAATCATGGATAGCTCTTTTTAGTTTTTTGAATAGTTGAGGTAAAGTAACCGATTCATGTGATGTAGGTAAGTTTCATTACTTTACCCGTAAATGTTTTTTAAAATTTGGTAAATCCATATAATTCTAGTACTCCCTCCGTCTCTCAATAGTTTGCCCAGTTTGACCGAGATGAGAAATAATAAAGTAAAAATTGTGTGATTGAGATATGTGCAGAAGAGAGAAATAATAAAAAACACAAATTTATTGATTAAAAGGGAAAGTGAGAAAGTTTTTTAAACATAAAAAAAAAAGGAAAGATGACAAAGTTATAAGTATGGATGGACTCGGGTCCGGTCCGGGTCGGGCCTAGGCCCGAGCGGGCCGGCGATTCAGAAATGGTGGACCCAGGACCGGCCCGGGTAACCACCGGGTCCGGTCCGGGTCCGGGCCCAGCCGGGTCGGGCCTTGTTTTGGGTGACCCGAGCCCGGACCTGAAAACCCACGGGCCGGGCCTACCCGGACCGGCCACTGACCGGGCCACCGGGTCGGGCCAGGCCGGAACAGTACCGGTCCCGGGCCGGTTCCGGGTCGGACCACCCGGCCCGAGAGTATTAGAAAACTTGGATACTATGAAATATAAGCCTTGTTGATACATAGCATTATACCATAATACAAAAATTTAGAGCTATACCAAAGTTTTGGTATGTATATTATGAGCTTTGCCACACAACTTTTGAAATTGTGTGATACCAATCTTTTTTAATAAGTTATCTGTATATTAATCTACAAATGTCAAACACAACAATGATAGACATACAGCTCAGCAGCCCACTCAGTATTTTAATAAAGTGTATAAAAGGAGGAGCCGGAAGATAGTTAGTTAATTAGCTAAGTAACTATTAAATGTTACTTTATCCCTGCGTGGATAATTTTACTATAAATAGAATAATAGAAGCTGTTGTCAGTAGGCTGTTATTTGGTTGTGAACTTGGCTTTTGGAGATTGGACATCTCGAATAGTCCCTGAACACTGTATCCCCGTGAACTGTTCAGTTGGAGAATAAACCATTCGATCTGATCTTCTACTTTGTTATTGAATTCTTACTTTTCTGCTTGAAAGTATCTGTGATCTAACACTGGTATCAGAGCACTCGTTCCTGGTGATCGGAAGTGTTCCGCGATCCTCAGCAAATATTACGTACGGTGGTGGATGGTACGGACGAGAGCCAAAATGGAGTTTCGCGTAGAAACTGTGGAACGGAACATCGCTGAGATACAGGGAACACTGTTGGAGGTACAGGAAGGAGTACGATCAGTGGTTGCTGATCAACGTGTTGCATTGGATAATTTGGCGGCAAACATGGCGGCATCCATAACCACGTTGACTGATCAGCTGCGATCCAGAGAGAGATCGTGATCGCAAGTCCGAGTTCACACGCGACGATCTTACAGCCCTGCGACTTCAGGAGGTAATCCAGACCACTCTTACATTCAAAATCACAGAAGGACCGAGGATATTCATAGATTTCCAGTATACACAGGCAGAAAAATTGATTTACCGGTTTTTAATGGGGAAGGTGCGTATAACTGGATTGTGAGGATGGAGAGATACTTTCGATTGAATCATATTAATGAAGAAGAACAGGTGGAAGCTGCATTAGTTGTGATGGAAGGTAGGGCTGTGAACTGGTTCATTTGGTGGGAACATCAGACGGAAAGAAAAAAATGGGAGAATCTGAAGGCTTCTATGATTCGGAGGTTTCAGTCAGATTTGATTCAGAATCCTTATGGACCCATGCTTAGCTTGAAGCAAACTGGAACTGTTAAGGAGTTTAGAGATGAGTTTGAAATGGTGATAGCTCCTCAAATCAATGTGGATATGGAGATCCTTAAAGGAATTTTCCTTAATGGTTTGAAGGAGAAGATAAAAGCTGAACTTAAATTACATAATTCCACAGCCTTGAGTGAAATTATGGACAGAGTCCTACTAATTGAGAGTAGGAATGAAGCTATATATCAGAAGAGAAAGGAGGAAGACCAGGTACTTGGGAAAGAGAAGGGGACTGCAGCAGTGAAATCACAAGTCTGGACTGAGGGGTACAAGTCCAAATTTAGCAATACTGGACCTCATAGTACTGAGAAGAATGGGGCAGACAGTAAGACTAACCAGCCTTGGTTCAATTCAAGGGGGACCAGAGTTACAGAGATTCATCCCTCAGGTATCAGAAGAGTGGGACCTCAGTTGTCTCGGGATGAGTATCAGGAAAGGAGCAGAAAAGGCATGTATTTCAAGTGTGGAGAGAAGTGGAACAAAGAACACACTTGTAAACTAAAAAACTACAAATTAATACTGGTAGAAGACTCAGATAAAGAGGAGGAAGAAGAAGGAATTGGGGCTGAAATCTCAGAAGAAGAAGAGCAGGTTATGGAATCTAAATCTATGCAATTGTCTCTCATGAGTAAGGAAGGTATTCCTTCTATGAGAGCTTTTAAGGTTCAAGGATGTCTAAGATGGAGCAAGAGTGAAAAGGAAGTGGAAGTTTTGATTGATAGTGGGGCCACTCATAATTTCATATCACAAGATCTGGTAGAGCTCTTGAAACTGCCTCATACCATTGTTTCAGGATACAAAGTCCAAATTGGGAATGGGGAGAAGATTACCAACAATGGCAGATGTGAAGATCTGATTTTATCTATGCAAGGGACTGATGTAAAGCAGAAATTTTATATTCTGAATTTGGGAGGGACTGATTTAGTACTGGGAATGGAGTGGTTGACCAGCTTGGGAGATGTGGAGATAAATTTCCAGAAACAGAGCATTAAATGGAAAATTGAGGGGTTGGATCAAAGCATACAAGGAGACCCCAACTAAATTCTATAGAGGTTTCCTTGAAAACAATGTCACAGATAATACAGGATACTGGGGATGGATTGATTGTATATCCTGAAGGGGGTTCAGTGCTAGTGGAAGGAGAAAAGGTGATGGATCAGATCTGGAAGGATATTGTGGCTGAGTTTCCAGAAGTTTCCAGACCCATACAGGGTTTACCTCCAAACCGAGCTTGCAACCATGCCATCAACATTAAAGAAGGAGCTGAGATCCCCAACATTAGACCCAACAGGTACCCACAATATCAGAAGACAGAGATTGAAAAGATCATTAAAGAGATGCTGAGTTCTGGAATTATACACCACAGTAACAGCCCTTACAGTAGTCCTATTTTGTTAGCTAAGAAAAAGGATGGGGGCTGGAGGTTTTGCGGTGATTACAGGGCGTTGAATCAGATAACTATACCAGACAAATTCTCTATACCTATAATTGAGGAGTTATTGGATGAGCTAGGAGGAGCTACTATATTTTCCAAGTTAGACCTCAAGTGTGGTTACCATCAGATCCGGATGAAGCAATCTGATATTCAGAAGACAGCTTTCCGAACACATGAGGGGCACTACGAATACCTAGTTATGCCTTTTGGGCTTACCAATGCCCCCTCCACCTTCCAGGCCCTCATGAATCAGGTGTTAAGGCCATTCTTAAGGCAGTTTGCCTTGGTATTTTTCGATGACATCCTGGTATATAGTAAGACTGAAGAAGAACATCAGGAGCATCTGAGAAAGGTTTTCAGAGCATTAAAAGAGAATGAGTTGGTGGTCAATCTTAAAAAAGGTCTTTTGGACAGTCACAGTTGGTATATTTGGGGCATATCATTTCTGGAAAAGGAGTGTCAGCAGATCCTGCCAAAATTGAAGCCATGGTTAGATGGCCTGAACCTAGAGGTTTGAAGGGACTGAGAGGCTTCTTAGGGTTAACAGGCTACTACAGAAGGTTTGTAAAAGGGTATAGTCAAAATGCCTTACCTCTTACACAACTTCTGAAAAAAGACAGTTTTTGTTGGGGTGACAAGGCTACTCAGGCATTTGAACAATTAAAGAGAGCTATGATTTCAGTACCTGTGTTAGCTACACCTGACTTTAATAAAATGTTCATTTTAGAAACAGATGCATCTGGGACAGGTCTGGGGGCAGTCCTAATGCAAGAAGGAAAACCAATTTCATACATGAGCAAGGAATTATCAAAAAGGAATCAGAATAGATCAGTTTATGAAAGAGAGCTCATGGCTATTGTTTTGGCAGTACAGAAATGGAGACCTTACTTACTTGGCAGAGTTTTTGAAATCCATACTGATCAAAGGAGCTTAAAGTTCTTGACTGAACAGAGAGTGATGGGGGAAGAACAACAGAAATGGACTTCAAAATTGATGGGATACAACTTTATCATCAAATACAAACCTGGGAAGGAGAATAGGGCTGCAGATGCCTTATCCAGAAAGTTGACACTACAATCCTTATCCATTGTCACCTGCCAAGAGTGGGAAGGGTTAGAAGAGGAATTGAATTCAGATTGCAAATGCAAGGACCTGATTCAGAAGGTCATATCACAACCAGATGAGTACCCTGATTTCCAGATTATAAAGGGGTTATTGTATTACAGAAAGAAGTTGGTGTTGCCAAGGGAGTCCCCAAGGGTATTAAAGATTATGAAGGACTATCATGAATCTGCAGTGGGAGGTCACTCAGGGTATTTTAGGACTATGAAAAGAATCTCCAATTTGTTCTATTGGCATGGTATGAGGACTGACATCAAGAAGTATGAGGAAGGATGTGCTACCTGCCAAACCAACAAATACCAGGCCCTTAAGCCAGCAGGGTTGCTACAGCCCCTACCAATTCCCAGCAACATATGGACAGATATCAGCATGGATTTCATAGGGGGATTGCCTAAATCTCATGGGAAGCCAGCAGGGTTGCTACAGCCCCTACCAATTAGCTAAGTAACTATTAAATGTTACTTTATCCCTGCGTGGATAATTTTACTATAAATAGAATAATAGAAACTGTTGTCAGTAGGCTGTTATTTGGTTGTGAACTTGGCTTTTGGAGATTGGACATCTCGAATAGTCCCTGAACACTGTATCCCCATGAACTGTTCAGTTGGAGAATAAACCATTCGATCTGATCTTCTACTTTGTTATTGAATTCTTACTTTTCTGCTTGAAAGTATCTGTGATCTAACAAACAACAACAACAACATCCAAGGAATCCCAAAAGAATTTGAGGTCGACTAACATAAATCAATCCATGTTATTAGTGACATAAAACTCGAATACAACTCGAAATCGGAGTCAACTCGAACCAAGCCATAATTTTTTTTGACCCAACTCGATTTAAACCGAACTCGAGCTCGACTTGCTCAATTAGCACCACTAGGACTCAAGCCTGTGTCTGAACAAACAAATAACAGATACATATTTGATGTGATTATAATTGAACTAGCGAGTCCTAATTGATCTGGCTACTACTATAAACACAGAAATGTAGCTTACTAGACTAAAATTATAAGTAGAAGTTAATATATCAATACATGCATTGCATGCTTCGAAACTATAAAGTTCACACTTTAATTTCAAGTTTCAACGAGCCATGCAATCTTCAAGAGAGCAAACCATATGCCGTCTTGGTTTCTCATCAACAGCCACCAGCTATTGCTTCTCCTGAATCAAATAAGAGGAGAGAAATTGTTATCAACGGATGCTATTAAAATTAGGCAATAAACAACTACTGTAATATTTGTTACCTCGAATTACCAAATGCAGAAGTATACACTGTGAACCTCATGGCATCAGATAGTACATTCCTGCTTCCAATCCCAGTTTATATTGTTAAAACAAATCAAACAAATCATCTGAGCCATAATTTATAATCTCCAAGAAATAATCAACAATCAAGTTCAGTTCTGAGAACTATTTGGTAGACAAGCAACTACTGCTCAGTGAAATAAAAAACACTACCATGTTGCTCCTCGCTTGAACACAAACATGACAGAGAACAGCGGGCATGTCTTGATGTCATGCGCATTTAAGTATCATCTAGAGTTCCCTCTCCTTCAACAGCTTTTTCTTGAGCTGCTACCCACATAAGCTAAAAATGTTTTGCAATGAAGAGTGTTGGATCTAGCTCCTCAAAAGAGTCATACTGGGAAAGCTTCCCTTTGGTTTCTATAGACAGCTCCCTTGATTTCACAGAAGTCAGTTTCAGTCAGCTTTCTATGGGGGTTTTGTTATTATGGCAGGGCAGTAATTAAAGGCTGAGACCTTGAACAGTATTTATAAATGTCTGAGCCAAGAACTTGCTTCATAATTTCTAGCTTCATGTCTGAAATCACAAATGGCGCAATAAACTGAGAAAGAACTGCTTAGCATTGAGAAAACTCTTAATAGTGGCCCATATATATCCGAAAGATGGTTCATGAATCATGGACTCCTCATGTCTGCAATAAGGACATCTGGATGTTAGTAGTACCATTACCTCCAAATAAAGTATGAGATTTTAGGTCGAAGCCTCCAAATAAAGGTGAAATGATAGATAAAGGGATAAAGTGGGAAAGTAAAGAGTTAGTGGAGTCCAATTTAGGAAAGTGATCATATTTTTAGCATAGTTAGTTAAATAAGGTAGGGGAATTAAACGAGGTTTAATACGTACGCGTTTTATTCGATAACATGAATGAAAAAACGGTCAAAATTCGTTGAAAAAAACGTTGACTTTTAAAAAACGTGTAAACACGTATACGTGTATAATACGATATCTGTTACAAAAATACGGACAAAAAATACGGGGTAATATTTTGAACATTTAAATTATATACTTCACAAAATAACATATATAGTAAAAAGATATAACATTATACACATTTCCAAGTAGCAAATCTCATTACTACATATAAGAATTATTCATAAATGCATAAGTTGATGACAATAAGAAAGAATAGTAATTAAGTCCAAGACATAATTTTGCAAAATAATGTCAAAAAAAATAAGGCATAGTAACAATAGAATGAGACTAAGTTAAAATCATTATCTTTATATGATCATCAAATGGCACTCAAGTTTTACTCAGCAATTTCATCAAGATGACGGATGACATATGAGAAAATTTGTGCGATTACTACACTTATTATTGTTTATGTATAAAAGTTTATACTAAAAAATGTAAGGTTTAGAAAAAAACCTTAATTTTGATATGCTTGTTTGGAAAAATATTAGAAATCTAGTAATATTTCAAGTTTTAGTCTTTTCAAATGCTAGCTTTAGCCGCCATGCAATTAACTTTAGTATTTAATAATCGTATACTTTGTATTGTAACAATACAAAAACATGGGACCACGGGGTGAAGGTTTTCTTTTTTGCTTTCAAACTATTGTTTACCTCCTACGCATTTAATTGATCAATTGATTTAATGCATTCATTCAATTGATTAATTCATGTTTCTTTTTTTTTTTGTAAAAAACGGGAAAATACGTTTTTATACGGGGAGTAGGGGTTTTTTTCCTTTTTAAACGAACCGACATTATTTTTTGTTTTAAACGTGTTTTTTTACTCAAAAAATGGCACGTGTTTAAAACGCGAAAAAAAAAACTCACTAGGATTTTTAGGACAACCCAAAAAGGAAAGTGTATCTTACAAAATGGGACGGAGGGAGTAATAGTCTGCTTTTAAAGCAATCTGTATCAAATCACCTTTGACTTCATTGTATTGAATTTCTAAACATTCTGTTATCTGAACAGTCAATGTCATTTGCAAAGCTTGCTGGACTTCAACCAATATATGAACTTTGTAAGTAATGCTACAAATATTAGTTTAATTGCTGTTTCAAATAGAGTAAAGTTTATTTTTGAAGGTTTTTGCTACAGTGTATTAGTTCTCGATGAAACTCTATTAAGTATTTAAGTTTAAAAGACCTTGCTTCATTTGATTTATTATCATAGAATAACAAAGAGGTTTTTTGTCTATCAATAACTGCATGCAATGCACGGTGGATGTGAATGAGTATTTGCAGTGTTTTCCCATTACTCTATTTGCACACATACAACCATCTGAACTTTTTGAATTATGCAACATCTCTTTCTACACTTGTCGATCTTTATTTTACCATTAGTTATTATAGTCTTGTAATTTCCATTTGTATGTTTGTATTTTTAATTAGTTTTGTTGTTTGTTTTTTTGGAAATTACACACTTTTGATGAAATACTTTAATTTGTCAAATTATTTGTAATTTATTTAGATTAGGATTATTCTGAGCTTAGGATAAGTCAAAATCATCCTAAGAATCAAAGGATGTATCTTAAAGACCAAAGAATGTGCAAAAGGGAGAAGATCAAATGAGGATTTTGAAATTTGTTCATGTACCCGGTCGGGTATGCTCAATACCCTAGTCAGGTATTGACCAGATACGCTAGTTAAAATCAAATCCGGGAGCAAATGAACGTGGCTGAAATTTGACTGAAGATCTGGTTTCACACCCGATCAGGTAGACCGATATACCCGATCGGGTATGCCTACATTTCACAGCTTCCGGGAAGCTACCTTTGGTATTCGATTGGGTATCCTATATACCTGATCGTGTACAAGACCCTGAGACCTTCATTTTCCTATAAATACACTTTTTTTCCTTCACATTAAATTCATCAATTCTCATATACTTTTAAGCTCAGTTTAGACATGTATTTTCTTTATATTTTCTCATATGTTTAGTCTCCAAATGAGGAGCTAAATTCATCCATCTTGGTTTTGCTACATTGAAGTTTAATGATTTGTAAGTTGTGAGTTATTTTTTAATTATCTTTCTTGAATATTAATTACATTCCTATTCTTATTTCATATTAATATTTTGAACATTACTTAAAGGATCAACTAGTTTTGTTTCATATATTAATTATTACCATGCTTGTCACGGCGTCGCCTAGGCGTCGCCTAGTCGCCGACTAGGCGTCCTGGCGCTAGGGACTGCTCGCCAGCTTCACTCACCTCGCCAGATGAAGAGTAGTCGTGAATGGCGTCGTCTAGGCGTCGTCTAGGCGCTGTTTTGGCGTCGAAGTCCTCGCCTTTTCGGAAAGTCGGACTGCTATGGCGCAGGCCCAGAACCCAAAATAAAAATAGATTCAGGCTTTAATTAAAAGCAAGCCCATAGTAAACTTCCTTACCGACGATTCGTTGCCCAAAGTCGTATAGCCAAGCCAAGTCGCAGCCTCGTAGAGTCGTAGGAAGCAGACGAACAACTCCACGAAGAAGACAAAGTCGCAGGTATGGCCCTCCTTGTCCCTCGCTCGCGGAAGCAGAGTAGCAGGCGACTCCCTAGTTCCCAGTCCCCGATCTCTTCTTTTTGGCTTCATTTTTTTATTATTTTAATTAATTTAGTTGTGTATTTATATATATATAAAGGGTGTATTTTCATCTATCTATCAATATATGTGTATATATACACTTCTATATTGCAGAATCAAGATATAATATGATATAATGATATACCCAACCTGTGAGACTTCTATTTTATTATATGTTCTAAATTATAAAATAATAAACTGTTAAAATAATCATAAAAACTGGTACATACTAATATATACTACGTATGATATATATTTTGCATAGTTTAATTATATGTATGATTATATATATAATTATATATATAAATATATAGGCGACTAGTCGCCTAATTGTCGCCTAGGCGGGCGCCTAATCGCCTAGGCGATATGGCAGTTGGCTGGCGCCGCGACTCGACTTACCGCCGTGACAAGTATGATTATTACTATAATTGATCGACGAATACGCTTGGTAATCGTTCAGTTTTTCACGGTAGTAAACTTGGATTATTAACACATGCGTCTCATGGTTAATAATCAAAGAGGAATTAATTATATTGATTAAACCAATAAACCGCTTGTGTTGAGGCTATCAATCTCAATCGTTTTCATCTTAACATATGAGTTTTACATTGAGTTTTTAGCTCAAAGAATGGCAACATCTTCTTGGGTTTAATGGCCTTCCATGCTCATATCTTCTTTTCTTCTCCTTGATATCATCAATGCCCTGTAAAAGAATAAATGCATCTTTCATATCTCTCAATTTGTCTAGGAGTCTTTTCAGATTTTCATCCTAGCATCTCTTTTAGTTTTTTTTTTCATCTTTTCCAACTCACTTATGTTCTTTTATAAGCCCTTTTTGCTTAGATTGCCCGTTTTTGGGTTTTCAACCTAACTATTATTTCTTTTTTCTTTTATTATTATTTTTTTTGTTTACCAAGAGTAAAGAAAATCACGCTTATTACAAGGTAGAAAAGGGAATTGTAAATACCAATGAGGAGTCTCCCCCTTATAATTCCAAGGCATTGTCCTTAGTGCCCGCAGTAGCCACCTTCACCGCCCATGTTAGCATCGCCTTCACCTCCGCCATCATAGCCCCCACCACCGGACTTCGAGCCACCAAAGTTACCCCATTGAGTGGGGTCAAACCAAGAGGGTGGTTGAGGAGGAGCGGACATAGAAGCAAAACCCCCTTAATGGGCCATGAATGAGTACATAGGACCTAAGGTCCTACAATAGTCTTCTTCGTACCGGCGGATGTCGACTTAGCATAGTTCCTCCATCTTTTGAAATTCAGTTCGTTGCTCTTCCCGATAATGGTCAATTTCTTCCTGAAGTTGGGTACATTGACTACCCATGGCCTTATATTCTAGGTTCGTATTTTGGAACCCATCAAGCAAGGATTGTTGACCCACCAAAAGTTGTTGGAAGTGGTCGGATGGTGGAGGGTTTTGAGGTGGCTCGGGGATGTCCTGATACATGGTTTCTTGGTTTTCTTCTGGTTGGTCGCCTTGGAGATCATCTTGTGGGTCTTGGAGGTGTGGAGGGATGGCATTAGGTAGTAAGTAATGGCTTACATGACTCATGTCCTCGGTCAAAATAATTGGAGGTGGGCTATCGGAGGGCAAGGTGAAATATCGGAAAGGCCTAGGATGAATTGTCCATTTATATTAGTCCTTACCATTGTGATGATAATGGGAATGAGAAGTGCATAAGGCATTGCTAAGGTAATCAAAGTCCATCAAACAATAATCGGTTACAGATCTTAGATCCGTATAGCCAAAATTTTGTAGCCAAATGCATAATGACTCTTCCCACCCAAATATCCCATTTTGCTTTGCATTCTTTTTTTAGATGTGCCTACATCAAATTGCACAAGTTAAGGGGCGTTAGAGATGCATACTGAGTCATGGTCAAAAACACACATCACCCATCCTTGTGTGATGGTTGTTTGGGGGTCCAAGAAGGTTATTAGCCAAAAATTTCAAGAATAGGCGAAACACCGGGTGTTGGACATGAGTCATTGTAAGCTTCGATGCACTTACATTCTGTTCTCCGATCATTTTTTTCCACATATCATGCCCATAACTCGTGTCATCCGAAATTTTCTTCTCATTAGAGAGGGGATGCCAAA